TTTGCTTCTCTTTTTTAAGGACTATTCATGGTGCTCTAAGTATAACTGGTTCATTAATTCTGACTGCTGCAAAGTATTCTGTCATGGTTCTGTTATATTTTATCTGTCTTCTTGTAATGGACACTTAGCATTCCTCCACCTCCTTACTGCCATAGAATCCTTATACAGTGCCTTCATTGTCCTCTGCAGAGATTTCTTTGGAGGTATATGTCCAGGAATGGGATTGATGGCTCCTAAGGTATATGCATACATTTACCATTAAGACATATATATTATTGATACTAATAGACTAATACTATTAGAATACTGATAGATGAATAGAATATTATTTAACGTTAAAAGATAGAAAATTCACATTTGCAACATGGAGTATTAGACTATACTAATATTAGTACTCCATTGTATGTGTATATATACATATAGGTATGTATATTTTGTTTATCCATTCAGTTATCAGTGGACAGGTTGTTTCCACCTATTGGCTATAGGGAATAATGCTGCTATGAATATTGGGTAGCAAATTTTGTTACTTTTATTTCTTATCTTTTAAAAAAATTTTATTGAATTTTGTTACTTTTAAGAAATAGGATTTCTAGGAGATGTCTTGAGGATTAATCTCAGTTGTTTATGCCTTTTTGCCTATACCATATAATTCTGTACAGTTGGGTATTTGTTATTTTGCAGAATCTTAGGGCTGGCAGGGACTTTAGAGTTTAATATTGTAAGCACTTAAATTTTGTTCACTGTACCATATTTTTATAGAAAGGACCTATAAATACAATTTTCTTTTCTTGGACAGTCCATTTAACTTTAATTTTCTAGCCTGGTTACCTGAAGTCTTAGTACAGTGTGAATTTGCGGTTGCTTTGGTAGATCTAGGTCCTGGCTTGTTTGGTCTTGTATAAACATATAGTCTTTGTGGTGGATATTTTCTATTTCCTCCTCCAGAGCCACATACCATCCTTCTCCCTCTGATCTATGTCCCTGAAGGCTCATTCATGTGCGTTTTGTGAATCTCTTTGCTTTCTGGCTTCTAGTTGGGAGTAGATGGTACCAGCAAGAAGAAGGATGGTGAGGTATTGATTCCCTGCTCCTTCCCTGCCAGGTTGCTACATGTGTGCACACCTCCACCAGTGATTCCTGCGTGGTGGTCCTTTCCATATAGCTACCCTCTCCATCTTCCTCATCTTTCCCCTTCAGGCCTAGGGTGTTAATGGTTCTGGAAAGATACATAGGCCTTTGTTGGTTTATCTAAACCTTACCCACACCTTTGTAAGTAGTCTCTTTGTTAAATTTTCCTCACATTACCCAGGTGTGGATACCATGTATTTCTAGTTGGCACCCTGATTGTTAGACCCCTTGAAAGGGCCCTGTTTTTAAAATTTTTATAAATTTGAACAAATAAATGTTACTACTGAATCATAAGATTAATAATTTAGGTTTGTTTTTTTCTGCTTTCTGCAGTAGTTTTACAGTAGGCTTTTGGGGGAGAGAGACTCACCCAGACATTCTCAGCCACAATATTAACAATGAAATATAGACCCCACTTCATTATTTTTAACCTTCTTCACAGACTTGGATTTCTGTTTGCAGCATAAAACAAAAAAGCTCCTCTTTCAGAAAAATTTTAGCACTTCTCCAGAGCCCCTATCCTTGCCACTGGGTTCCATTCTTTCTTTCCCTTTTTTTTTTTTTTTTTGATTTAAGTATAGTTGATTTACAATATTGTGTTAGTTTTAGGTGTACGGCAAAGTGGTTCAGTTATATATATATATTTTTTCAGATTCCCATTATGGGTTATTGCAAGGTATCGAATGTATTTCCCTGTGCTATATGATAAATCTTTGTTGTTTACCTATTTCATATATAGTAGTATGTATCTATTTATCCCGAACTCCTAATTTATCCTTTCTTTCTTTTCCAAGCTGTTTCAGTATTATCCTAAGCTAGCATTTGCAGATGTTGACCCATCTTAGGCAAATCTATGAAGATGTCTTTACACCGTCCAGAGTTTCTTTATGTTGCTAAAGCCACCCCTTGTTACCTTTCTCTTCCACTAACACTTTTGTGTCTTTCAGTGTCTAGCCACTTTAGATACCTATCCTGGTAAGTTAAGCTTAATGTTAATGTTTACTGATGAGTTAATAGTTTGCTTTTCTAACGAGGCAAATGAATTTATTTATATTTTTCATTATCTTTTGATAGAAATTTCCAAAGTATTTGCTTTCTGAGTTAGATTTGGTTTTTAGCATTAGCTTTGATGTCCAAATTGCTTAGGTTTTAAGAGTTTACATATAGGGAAAGCTTTTTTTAAGTTCAGCCTTTGTATTTGCATATGTGCTTTTTTTTATAAACTCAGAATGTGGAGTCATACTTCATATACAGTCATGTTTTATAAACTAATACCATATTAATATATTCTCCTGTTAGTAAATGCCTTTTAAAAAATATTTTAGTGTCTACTTAAAATTACATCATAAATGTTTAATAGGCAATAGTAGTTTATTATCCATACAGTATGTTATTCCAGTTTTTGGTCTTAAAATGTACTGACAAATACTTTGGTATAAAATTTTGGGCATGAAGCTCTGATTATTTCCTTAGGTTAAATTCTTAGGAGTAGAATTGCTACATCAAAATGTATGTTTTTAAGCCTCTTAAAAATATTTTAAATACAGGCATGACTAACCTTTTGTTTTCAAGTATTGATGCATCATCATGAAATTGATGCTTGTAACTACTTAAGAACCACAAAGAAATCTTGACGTTTTTCTGTCATAACTTATAACTATCAGACCTCCAATATTGTTATCTTTTATCTTTGAGACGGTATCCAAGCAAGCTGCTGAAGAGGTCAAATCCCATTATAATAAAACCCAGATTTCTTTGTGGCCTTTAGTACAATTGTCATTTTAGTTATTAATGTGGTAAATTTCTCTAATTAAACTATAAACTTTGTGCATGCAATAACCGTGTCTTTTTTTCCTTCCCAATATATCTCTACTGTTTGCCACAGTATAGTAGGCATTCAATGAATATTTGTTGAAAGGGGTTAAAAATAAATACTGTACTACAATTTTTAGTACTGAAAATGGTATAGTAGTGTATGATTTACTTGGATTTTGAATTCAGATGTACTTAGGTTTTATTCTTAGCTCTACCACTTAGTTGCTAGCTGATCTTGGGCAAGTCCCTGGTAGGTTAAAGTTTTTCTCTTTCTATTTCCCATCTCTTTCTGGTTATGAATGCCTTGAGAACAAGGAGAATGACTGGATCTTGCCAGCGCTAGAACCTGACATTTTATAAATGTTGAATTGAAGTTTTGAATTTAGAATTATTAGAAATGTGGCAAACTGTAATGAATGCCATGGTTCAACTGTACTGAACTTGTGTATCTCACAAAGCTTCTTGTTCTCTCTGGTATCTGGACTTTACACACACCACTCCCTCTGCCTGGGATCATCACACCTTTTTTACCATACTGATATCTTGCTTTTCTTTCAGAACTTGGCTAATTAGGCTTTTCCTTCTCCTAGAAAGCATTCTGTAACACCCCTAGGCAGGTTGCATGTCTTTTCTCTAGAATAGCCTTCTTAGTCTTAGCAGTACTGACATTCTGGGCTGGATGTTTTTTTTGTTTGGGGTAGGATGTTTAGCACCATCCCTGGCCTCTATCTACCAGATGCCAGTAGCATTCCTTCCAGTAACAACCCAAAATGTCTCCAGTCATTGCTAGATGTTCCCTATGGGAAAAATCACTTCCGGTTGATAACCACTCTAGAATTACAAATAGTGATTTGTACAATACAAATAGTATTGTAGTTGCCCAATTTTCTAGCTGTTTTTTTTTTCCCAATAGAATGTAAGTTCCTTTGATTGCAAGGACTGTGCCTTTTTTATCTTCTTATCTAGCATCTAGCCATTATCTGTCATAATCAGTAAATATTTGTTAAATGGATTGAACATAATTTAAGATAATGGATCTCAGATACTTACGATTGTAAATGGGTAGTGTAAAGGACTCTAGAGGCAATCTCACAAAAGGAAAATACATCTGATATTTTGTGGTTTATGCACAAGCAGACAGATTATTATTTGTAGTCTTCTTCCTTAAATTGGGTATCTCCTTTGGTTTTCTGTTCTTCAGTTACTTTGTTAGACATGCTCGTTTGGTTGGATATTACATGTTTTGAAGTTCAAGTCTACAGTTAATTGAGAGAAGTAGAAATTGTGCTGTCTTGGTACAGAATGCACAGTGGTCAATGCACAATGATATACTCTAAAGTCTTGTGGGTGGAGGGAGTGGTTTTGTTGACTGTAACTCTGCTGTTCAGTGAAAGTCTTGGTAAATAGCCTTCTGTTTTCAAATTCTATAGAGCAGTTTTGTTTTTTTTTTTACTTTTTTACCTCTTTGTATATTTCTTTGTATGTGAGCAGATGTTAATATTTCTGCGATCTTGGGCAGTAGCTTTTTCCAAAGGCTGAGACTTAATAGAAGGATGTGAGGAATTAAGGTGATAATATCTTTTAATTTGGTTCTAAATTTGATAGTCTTTTCCTGTCACTACCTCTGATGAGATTTTTGGGAGAAGTAGGAGGCCGTCCTTTTTGTCTTTCTATCACCCTACTCCTGCACCAATATATAGATAAATCATTTCATCCATCACCAAGTTCTTTCAGCTCTGGTTCAAAATAGATCTCAAATCCAATCACTTCTGCCACCACCACTGTTCTCTGTTCCAGTCAGAGCTCCTTCCATCTTTTGTTTGGACTATTGTAATAGCCTTGCCCTTGGTCCTCTTGCTTCCAGTATTATCCTCCCCCAGTTCTCCACACAACAGTTAAATGATCTTTAAAAAATGTAAATCAGAACATGTCATTTATCTGTATTAGAGAACCATTCTAGTTTATAGTGTCAAATAATCCACACTCTAACTGGTGTTAGTTCCTGAACTAATTTTAGCTTGAAAATAGTCATTGTATTTCTTATCTTTTTCCAGGAAGAGCACAGCATGCTGGGCTCTGGGTTTAAAGCCGAGCGTTTACGAGTCAATTTGAGATTAGTCATAAACCGTCTTAAACTGTTGGAGAAAAAAAAAAGTGAGTAATGCCTGATTGCCTTATATTTTCTTTCCCAAAATGCATCACTGAGTCCTGGTATTGGCTCTTTCAGACTAGCATTCTGAAGTCTTATGGATCCCATATCCTTTAAGCTTTGGATACATTTCTGCTGCCCTTTGTAACTAGTTAGACTGAATCACTTTGTTGTTGCTATGGAATAAGTGACTCTGGAGGTGGAAACTTCTCACTATACAAATAGTATTCTCACGTAGGCAAGGTAGTAAAGTCTAGACTAGATGAAATGGGACTAAATTTGTTAAGGGAGAGTAAGCTAGGATATAGTAGAAACACCTATTTCTCTCTGTTGGGATGGATGTCTGCCTGCAGGCCAGGGCCCAATGTACTACTGCCTTGTGACTGGAGTGGGGTTTATACTTTAGCGGAACTGGCCCAGAAAGCAAGGAAAGAGATTGCTGACTATCTGGCTGCTGGGAAAGATGAACGAGCTCGGATCCGAGTGGAGCACATTATCCGAGAAGACTACCTTGTGGAGGCCATGGAGATCCTGGAGCTGTACTGTGACCTGCTGCTGGCTCGGTTTGGCCTCATCCAGTCTATGAAGTAAGATATTTTGTCTTTTTTTTTTTTAACCTTCATTGAGGTATAATTTATATAGAAAATATCAATATGTATTTAATGTAGACAATTTGATGAGTTTCAACATAGGCATACACCTGTATACCATCATCATACTCAAGTTAATAAACTGTTGTCACCTCCAAAAGTATCCTTTTACCCATTTTTTTTCTTTTTTCTTTTTGGTAAGAACACTTCACATGAGATCCACCTTTTAAAAATTTTTAAGCTGTCAATGCAGTATTGTTTACTTATAGGCATTGTGTTCAGCAAACCTCTAGAACTTTTTCATCTTATATAACTGTACTGAAGTAAGATACTTTGATTTGAAGACCTCACTCATATTACCTCTGGAATTTGAGAAAAGAGTAATACTAGTCTCTTCCTACATTTAGGAGGCTAGCAATAAGAGACTGCCACGTCACATACCCCACCTATTAGTCCTACTGTTTTTTCCTACTATTCACCTGAAGGCCTGATCTTAGTGTAGACAGCTGTTAAAAAGAAAATAGGGAATCTGAAATCAAGAAGCCCGAATCTGAGTCTTGGCTCAACCACCTTCTCATTTTGTGACCTTGGGCTTGTCGCTTAGTTTGAATTTCCCCTCAAAAATAGGATGACAAAAATGGCTAGAAGCCTAGAGTTACTGTGAGAATCCATTGAGATTTGTGAAATAGCTTTAGAGGTTAACAGGTATACGATATAAGTGATGTAGTTTTGTTGGTTAGTTTTAAAGAATGTTAAATTTTATTAATTTTTTCCTTAATTAGAGAGTTAGATTCTGGTCTGGCTGAATCTGTGTCTACACTGATTTGGGCTGCTCCTCGACTCCAATCAGAAGTGGCTGAGTTGAAAATAGTGAGTATAACCTGTTTCAGTGATGTACATAGTTGTTCATATTGTTAGAAAGGTCGGTTAACATATGTCAGTTCTGCTTATTTGACCAGGTATTTTGTACCCTTCTCATCCTGCCTTTGAGACAGGTTTTGTAAATTTGTTTCTTCCTTCTTTTCAAGTGTTTCATCATAGAATAAAAAGTGTTTTGCAAACTAGAATACTTTTGGTAAGGGACAAAGTTACATGTACCCCAAGTTTTATCTTAACTTATTTTTAGTTTAATGTTATTTAAATATGTAAAGATAGGAAAATTCTTGTACAACTATAAATCAGTAAACTTAAAATAACTTTAAGGGAACAGAGGTTGTGTTTCATTCTTTCATTCCACAAATATTTATTGAGCAGATGTGAGTTAGGTGGGCACTGAGAGTACAGTGGTGAGCAAAATATGACACCAGCCCTATTCCTGTAGCTTAGGGTCTACTAGAGACATTAACTGAAAAATTGCTTATCTCAACATGGGTATGGTACTGACTGGTAAGGTACAAATTCAGTTGAATTGTTTTCTCTCCTGTTTTCTACATCTTTGCCAATTGTTCACTAGGGGATTGTCTCTCAGCGTGTCTTTTGAGATTTCCTTGTCTTTATGCTTTTATTTTTTGAATTCTTTTTATTTCTCTTCATATCTTTTTAAATAGTCTATTATTTTTGTTTCATGGCTATAATATCTTCAAACTGAGAATATTATAGTTCCTTTTTAAGTTTTCTTGTTTCTGTAATGTTTGTTTACTTCTTTCTCTTTTTTTGATTTAGACGGTTTTTATAGTAGAGGCTTTTCTCGAGGGTTTGGTGACTCTTGGCTGTTTATATTTAAGAGTGAGGTACTAAAAAGTAGATTAGAACCTCTTGTGTGCTTGGGTGGGGTTTATTGCCAGATGCCAATTCATTTTTTTCTCCCTCTTTTTCTCTCCAGCTTTGTTGAGATATAATTGACATGTAATACTGTGTAAATTTAAGATGTAGAGCATCATGATTTGACTTACATAGTCCAGAAGTGATTACCACAATAAGTTTAGTGAACAGCATCTCATATAGATAGAATTAAAGGAATAGAAAAAAATTTTATGATGAGAACTCTTAGAATTTACTCTTTACTCTTTTAATTTCTTACCTCCTGTATTTTGCTAGACTTCTAAAATTTACTTGATACTCCAATTAGCTAATGGCATCCTCTAATTGTTTTATACCCTGCCTCGTGAACAGCCATTTTCCCCATTTGCATTGCTCACTGCTAACCTTTTAGCAGCGAACAAAATCAGTTCTGCCTTCTTCTGGGCACTGCCCACTGTCCCACCAACAATAAGCCTCCCTCTGCCACCCCACTGGCCACCGCTGGAGCAACTCAAAGCCTTTAGCCTTCAGTGGGCATGGGAGATGCCACTTCCAGCACCTCCAAGGACGGACTTCATAACTTTTCTGTAGAGTAAGCCAGTGGGTGTGCTAAGGTATCAGCAGGCAGCTGACTCTGGTTTCCTTTTCTAGCTACCATCTGGAGGATGAGCGCCTGCTGGAATTAGGACATTTTAAGGACAAAGGAGGGGTATGAGGTCCAGCTCACAGGTCAACCAGCAGTCATGATACTCTCTTTACTCTCTTAATAATTTTCTTTCTTTTTTTTTTAATATATTTTTATTGAAGTGTAGTCAGTTTACAATGTTGTGTCAATTTCTGGTGTATAGCACAATACTTCAGTCATATAGGAACATACATATATTCGTTTTCATATTTTTTTCACCATAAGTTACTACAAGATATTGATATAGTTCCCTATGCTATACAGTATGAACTTGTTTAACAGTTTTCATATATAACATACAGCAATGTTAATTATATTTATCATGTTGTACATTACATCCCTAGTACTTATTTATCTTAGAAAGTTTAAAGTACCTTTCGACTGCCTTCATTGAATTCCCCCTACCCTCCCACCTGCTGCCTCTGGTAACCACAAATCTGATCTCTTTTTGTATGAGTTTGTTGCATATTTGTCTTCTTGTTTTTGAAGTATAATTGACCTACAATACCGTATTGGTTCCTGTTACACAACGTAGTGATTTTTTTCTATACGTTTCAAAATGATCATGGTAAGTCTAGTTATGATACGTCATCATACAAAAGTATTATTTAGTTATTGACTGTGTTCCCCAAACTGTACATTTCATACCTATGACTCATTTATTTTGCAACTGGAACTTTGTACCTCTTAATCTCCCTTACTTATTTCTTTCCTCCCCCCACCTCCCTCTGGTAACTACCTGATTGTTCTCTGTATCTATAACTCTGTTTCTGTTTTATGTTTGTTCATTTGTTTTGTTTTTTTAGATTCCACATATAAGTGAGATCATACGGTATTTGTCTTTCTCTGACTTATTTCACTTAGCATAATACCTCTAGGTCTAGCCATGTTGGAGATGGCAAGAGTTCATTCATTTTTATGGCTGAATATTCATATATATATATGCACACACGTATATGTATATCACATCATCTTTATCCATTCATCTATTGATGGGCATTTGGGTTGCTTCCATATCGTGACTATTGTAAACAGTGCTGCAGTGAACATAGGGGTGCATATATCTTTTCTAAATAGTGTTTTTGTTTTTGTCAGATAAATACCCAGGAGCGGAATGGCTGGATCATATGTTAGTTCTATTGTTAATCTTTTCAGGAATCTCCATACTGTTTTCCGTAGTGGCTGTGTGAGTTTACATTCCCAACAGTGCGCAAGGGTTCCCTTTTCTCTGCATCCTCACTAGCACTTGTTATTTGTTGTCTTTTTGATAACAGCCACTCTGACAGGTGTAAGGTGATTTCTTAATATGGTTATGATTTGCATTTCCTTAATAATTAGCGAGCATCTTTTTATGTGCCTATTGGCCATCTATATGTCTTCTTTGAAAAAATGTCTCTTCAGATCCTCTGCCCATTTTCTAGTTGGATTTTTTTTTTAATGTTGAGTTGGATATATTCTTTGTATATTTTGGATATTAACCCCTTACCAGATACATTGTTTGCAGATATCTTCTCCCATTCAGTAGATGGCCTTTTCATTTTGTTGATAGTTTCCTTTGCTGTGCAGAAGTTTGATGTACCCCCATTTGTTTATTTTTGCTTTCGTTTCCCTTGCCTGAGGAGACGTATCCAAAAAAATATTACCTAAGACCGATGTCAAAGGGTGTACTTCCTGTATTTTTTCCTAGAAGTTTTGTGGTTTCAGATCTTGTATTTAAGTTGTCAATCTATTTTGAATTTATTTTTGTATATGGTATAAGAGAGTAGTCCAGTTTGATTCTTTTGTATGTAGCTGTACAGTTTTCCCAACACCATTTATTGAAGAGGTTGTCTTCTCCCCATTGTGTGTTCTTGCCTCCTTTGTTGTAGATTAATTGCCCGTGTAAGTGTAGGTTCATTTCTGGGATCTCTGTTCTGTTCCATTGATCTGTTTGTTTTTGTGCCGATACCATCCTATTTTGATGACAATAGCTTTTTAGTATAGCTTGGAATCAGGAAGCATGATACCTCCAGCTTTGACTAAGCCCTTTATTGAGGGAACTCCAGACTGGTAGGAAGTAGTTTTCTTTCCTTGGAGTTGGTCAAGGGGGTTTTTCCTCAAAGAGGAATTCTGTCTTCTACCTGGAA